GAGAGAGAGAGAGAGAGAGAGAGAGAGAGAGAGAGAGAGAGAGAGAGAGAGAGAGAGAGAGAGAGAGAGAGAGAGAGAGAGAGAGAGAATGGAATTTATCCCGAGGACAGAAAGGGGGTCACAACACTGGGCTGTAGTGAAACGCTTAGAAGGAAGAAGTAGTCCTGCAGCGGTACAGAGCTATATCGAATCCGTAGCCAAAAGAACACAGTTTGCTGCATGCACAGTTTCACATTTTTCGGATCCGGAGGTTCGTTAGCAGTGTATCTAATCGATTGGTTTCAAGGTTCACACTTTGATCCTTTTGTCATTCACAAGTGTTGACGACAGCAGTGGTGGCAACAACAACCACATCTACTTGCCGTTGAGGGCTGCCCACACCTTGTTCTTCACGTACAATATCCGTAACATCGGTGTTTGCGCGAAGAGAGGAGGGTGCGAAACACTGTGAACAGATGCAGAAGCAAGGGTGCAAGGGGCTGCAAGGGGTGCAAATGGGGTGCACAGGGGCAGGAGGTGATTCTGATGAGTGATGATTTCCATCGAATGAAAAATTGCAGATCCCAATGAGAGTTGCTGAGACGCAAATGGGGTGCAAATGGGGTGCAAATGGGGTGCAAATGGGGTGCACAGGGGCAGGAGGTGCAAATGGGGTGCAAATGAAAAAGTGCAAATGGGGTGCACAGGGGCAGGAGGTGCAAATGGGGTGCAAATGAAAAAGTGCAAATGGGGTGCAAATGGGGTGCAAATGGGGTGCAAATGGGGTGCAAATGGGGTGCAAATGGGGTGCAAATGGGGTGCAAATGAGTATTGCTACTTCGAGATTTCCGTGTTCAGTGTCAGAAATGATGTTTGCTTGCTTATTATGTCTAAAGACTCTAAAGTCTTTATCAAATATTTCAATCATATTTGTTAAGACTCTTATTTGTAGTACTAGCTGTGTTCTCGACCTGTGTTTTCGCTTTTTTTGTTTCTACTTTTCTTCTGTTTCCAACTGTCTTTAAATGAGGGTGGGTATGTGTTGTGTCATGCACTGCAGGTATTCAGGGCGAACAGCACTTGTATTGGGAGGCATTGCACTGCTATCAGGATTGATGGCATTGGCTGACCGTGAGGAGCTGGACTACGTTGAGGATCTGAGATGGGCGCTCATCGGATACTTCTGTCTTCTTCTGATGGTGTTTGTGTATTACGAATACAGATTGCGTCAGAACAGGTGCGTTTACTCAACTCATGTTTACTTATGGCAAAATGTGATTTGTTTTTGTTTCAAGGAATTAATGGAAGTGCACAACCAGGTGTGCAAGGGGAGAAGGGAGGAGAGAAGGGAGGTGGGAAGGAGGGGGAGAAGGAAGAAGCTGAACAAGCCGTTGACACCAACGCCCCATTGGTGGCAACCTTTATCGGTGTTAAGAAGCAGCGGGATGACTCCATCAATATGTGGAAGAGAGAGAGAGAGAGAGAGAGAGAGAGAGAGAGAGAGAGAGAGAGAGAGAGAGAGAGAGAGAGAGAGAGAGAGAGAGAGAAAGGGTGAGAGAGAGAGAGAGAGAGAGAGAGAGTCGGGAAGGGGGAAGTAGTTGTCAAACGGACAATGACGAAAGACATGAATACAGGGTGGAAGAGGAGGTGGAGGGCGGAAGAGAAAGGAGATAGAGGAGGATAAAAAGGGGGGAAGGAGATAGAGAGAGGGGGAGGGGGGGGAGCGAAGAAAGAAAGAAAGAAAGAGAGAGAGAGAGATGAACAGGCAACAGAATTGGCGTTCCACAAGATGGAGTGTGCTCATCATTTCTTTCTTTCTTCCTTTTCTCTGTGATAAGGGACGAAGCGAAAAGGTTCAGCAAAGCTACAAACTGTGTCTCCCCTCCCCCCCCCCCCCCCCCCCCCCCCCCCCCCCCCCCCCCCCCCCCCCCCCCCCCCCCCCCCCCCCCCAACACCCCCACCCAACACCCCCCCCCCCGCAAGAAAAAGGGGAACTGGGGAGGGGGGCGGCTTTTTTTTAAAACACATTAGAAGGTAAAAAAGAGGGGGGGGGGGGGAAAACAAAAAAAAACAGTGCAAA